ACGGACTGAGACGTTATAACATTACAGGAGGACCTGGATAGAATAGGGGGAGGGGCAACTGTATGGCAGATGAGGTTTAACGTCGATAAATGTAAAGTAATGCACTTTGGGGTTAAAAATAGGCAAGCGGATTACACATTAATGGGAACTCCACTAGGGAAGTCAGACATGGAAAAAGATTTGGGGTCGTTGTAGAGCACAGATTGAAGAATAGCGCGCAATGCCAGGTGGCGGCACACACAGCGAGGAGAGTCCTGTCTTGCATTATGAAGGGAATGTATTGCAGAGACAAATCTATAATTTTGCCACTTTATAGATCGCTGGTTCGGCCTCATCTGGAGTACGCGGTCCAGTTTTGGTCACCAATCCACAGAAAGGATGTCCTGGAGCTGGAGGGAGTCCAGAGAAGGGCAACCCATGCTCCCAATGAGACTGTCACAGGTCGGCTCAGTAGATCGGGAGGTGAGCGAACATATAGCGGTGTTCGCTCACCTCTCCATCCTGTCACGGCTCTCTGCCGTGACAGGGGAGGGGCTGGATTCCCCCCTCCCCGCTCCGATCTTCTAGCGCTGACTGGCGGAACGGACGGGGGAGGGGGCGGGTACAGCTGGCTCTGCCTCTAGATAGGCAGAGCCAGCTGTCAGTCACGCAGCTGGGCGGATCCAGACATAATTGTCGGGATCCGCTTCAGCTGCGGCGTCTCAGTATACCGCGAGCTGTAGCTCCCTATATACTGAGCTTTGGGTGACGGGAGGACGCTAGTTTGTGTTCTCCCGTTACACTAAGGAGAACTATGGGGGAAAGCCTTAACCCTAGAGTTCTCCTTTAAGGGGGGACATGATTTTGATGTACAAGATGTTCCATGGTGACGGCAACATCAGCAATAAACTTTTTACGGTAAACTCCATAACAAGGACTAGAGGCCACCACCTAAATCTGGTGGAGAAAGGATTTCAGCACAAGGGGCGCAGGGGTTTCATCTCCGTTAGAGTGGTCAGGGTCTGGAACTCGCTGCAGCAAGCTGTGATTTCAGCTGAGAGTGTTGAATCTTTCAAAAAGCATTTCGACAATTTCCTCAGAGACCGCGACATACAGGGGGACAGGTACACTTAAAGGAGAACTATGGTGTCAGGGCTTTTCCCCATTGTTCTCCTTAGGGTAACGGGAGGACACAAACTAGCGTCCTCCCGTCACCCAAAGCTCAGTATATAGGGAGCTACAGCTCGCGGTATACTGAGACGCCGCAGCTGAAGCGGATCCCGACAATTATGTCTGGATCCGCCCAGCTGCGTGACTGACAGCTGGCTCCGCCTATCTGGAGGCTGTACCCGCCCCTCCCCCGTCCGTCCCACCAGTCAGCAATGGAGGATCGGAGCGGGGGGGGAATCCAGTCCCGCCCCTGTCGCGGCTCTCTGCAGGGATAGATCGAGAAGTGAGCGAGCGACGGTATGTGTTCGCTCACTTCCCGATCTACTGAGCCGACCTGTGACAGTCTCATTGTCACAGGTCGGCTAGAACTATGAGGTGAGTGAAAAGCGCCCCCCCCCCCCTCACCCCCCTCATAGTTCTCCTTTAAGAACAAGATCACACAAGGACTCGTACACACGCATACACATGCAGAATCACATACATACACGCGATAGGTTGAACTTGATGGACATGTGTCTTTATTCAACCTCAAATACTAAAACTAATCAAATACTAAGCTCCAATAGGGTTACATTTTTCGTCTTTAGATACACTGTATACAGACGCCGTGGCGGTTTTCTGGCAAGGGCTCGGCCAATCGGCAGGAGGTAAACGGCGACTTAGGAATAAGCAGAAGACACTTGTTTTTTTTTTTTTTATAAATCTTTAATAAAACACAAAGTCGGATCATCGGAACAGATTTTCATCTCGCGTCAATAAATACGGAGTACACGGCGATAAAACGTCAGACCGCCGCGGGGCCGCGTCCGCCTCTCCGGTGAGCGCGCGCTTATGCTTTTCACTTTGCGTCAGTGCGAATTTCCCCGATTGCTTTAAAGAGGACCTGTCCTGTGATCGGGGGGCGCACACCGCGAGGCTCCTGTAAGCACACTCCTGCAGATTGGAGTGCGGAGGACGATCGTGTTCAGCGAGGATTTTTGGCGGTCACATTTTGGCGCATTAAAACCTTTGGTCTCATATTGGGGCCGTAGTGCTCC